ACACACACACACACACACACACACACACATGTAGCATATCTTTGGCCTCAGACATCTATCTTCAGCCTTACTTGCAGATGCCTTTGCCTGGATGGGGTATCACTTCCAATCCTTTACTTCTTTGGTTAAAATTTATGAATCTGAAAGATGGCTAACTTTTCTGCCAGTAAATCACTGATGGAATTAAATTTTCTTCTAGATTACAGATCACCCTTCATTGCTTCTGTTAGTGATGAGCATGACGTTGTGTACATTACTGAGAACAAAAATAAAAGTGTGGTGGTTCCATGTCGTGGGTCCATTTCAAACCTCAACGTGTCACTTTATGCAGTAAGTCGCATCACTTTTAATCCTCTCAACAGGATAGCCTGTTTTCAATATGATATCCACATTAAATTTTAAAGAGTCTTTAGAAAGGGTAAAAATGACAGTGAATAAAAGCAACCTGTATTCTTAAAAATAAGGTAAATTCTTCAGTGCTTCTCATGTATGGTTTTTACTTTCGGATAGCACTGGATGAAATATTTGATATTTCTTTTCATTACTCAGAGGTACCCTGAAAGGAGGTTTGTTCCTGATGGAAACAGAATTTTCTGGGACAGTGAGAAAGGCTTTACTATTCCCGGCTACATGATCAGCTATGCTGCCATGGTCATTTGTGAAGCAAAAATTAATGATGAAAATTACCAGTCGATTGTGTACATAGTTGTGGTTGTAGGTAAGAGGCTGTTTCCTTTCCATATTGCGAATTCCAGACAGTAAAGAGTGATTTTCCACATGAGGAGCCTGGGGAGGAAGGTATTGGGTGAAGGACAAGGGATATTGAAAAATATAACTCAGGATATGGGATTGAGAAGCTCATTGCATCCACTCTTCCCTTCCAAAATACCCCATGTGCAGTTGAGTTTTCTCATTTTTGCAAGGACCAAGGATGAAAAAGAATGTCATTATAGGTACCCATCTTAAGAAAAATTCAGTATTCAGACTACTGCATGGCATCAAGTCTTTTAACTGTACCTGTTTTATGAAAAGTTCAGCCATTTGCTAAAGCTGGGTGTATTGCTGTAGACTTCTCTATCCAATGGGTTGCACCATCTTTAGATCCCTGTAGGTAGTGCTTTGTTGATCTCTGTAAGCCATTGTCCACCAAGTATTGGTGAGTCTCAGGGAAAAATGCATCACTTTAAAAAATTGTGTGCAAAGTTATAGGTTTCTTTTCTCTCCTACTTTCTGTCTTTTACTTGCTCCAGGGTATAAGATTTATGATGTGGTTCTGAGCCCTCCTCATGGAATTGAGCTATCTGTTGGAGAGAAGCTTGTCTTAAATTGTACAGCAAAAACTGAGCTAAACGTGGGGCTTGTCTTCAGCTGGCAGTGCCCTTCTTTGAAGGTAACACTAATAAGTCAAAACCAGACCTCTCACTGCTTTGATCATAAGCCCTAACGAAGTTTGCTTGAGAGATAGGCCACTCTCTGGCCTCTGGCCGGATAAAATATAAGGCCCTTAACACACACACACACACACACACACACACA